CAGAGCGCGACGCTCGCGCTCATCGAGCCTAGGATGTACACTCCTCGGTGCCGCGCACGCAATGTCCGACATTGCACCGCGTGCGGAAGACGAAGTTGGGCTCTGCCCGTGTTCGCTGTCAAAACCAGCGAGACTTGGTGACTTCAGTGTCGTTGACACAGGGCTCATAGAGTGTGGAAGTCTTTTTATTCCAACGAACCAAGTTACAGTGTCTAGCGGGCTCGCGAGCCTCGTTGAGGCAATAATCGATTGGAACTATAAATTTTATTGGAGCAGAGTGTAACGGGGTTACATGTACCCTGGTAACAGGGGTTCGTGTCACACGAGATGGACATGGTGTGACTGCACCCAAACAAGAATACGGTATGGGGCTAGGAAGCCAGTAGTAATGCATGTATTAAGGTTTTACTATTTATGAAAATCTATACGTTTAAAATTAGGCTGCTTCGCCGCAGATAAAAATAAATGATAGTTAGCTTTGGATTTTAAACGAAAGAGTAGTTAGCCTTGGTTTAAGCAATAGTTACTCTTGGGGTAAGCGGATTTCGATCCGCTAAACTCGTACTTGTTCTTAGTATAGAACGAAAGGTCGGTGACCTAAGTTACGCTTCCTCAAAGCGCGAAGCTACGGCAGCCCCGCTGCAACGACGCTTCAAAGCACATAAAATTTCTGCATTGATTATCTATCACCTGCTAGATATACATAATGTCAACCTCAGTTGTCGTGCAACAAACTACGAGCTCTCTCAAAGCGTCGTCAGCTCAAGGACTGTCCTGATTATATCTTAAAGGCAGAAAATCTCATCTATATCCGTTGATGGTGCACATCAAGCATATAAAACACGAGTTCAAAAACTAAATCATTATTCCCTTCTATAGTTTATCGGTTTGTCAAACCATTAGCGATGATTCGTGATTTGAGTATGAAGTTACTGGGTTAACCCCTAACGCTCCCGCGAGCTCTGTGTCTGCGACCGCAATAGCTCAGGGCCACTGTTTGAGCTCAGCCCATGACCCTTCTACTTCCCTGGCTATTGTCAGGAAGCGCGGGGCGTCCTGATCTTTCTGATCAAAAGCGCCCATGGCGACTAGGCAAACTTGCCGAAGTGGCGCCTCAAACTCCCACGAGTTTTTGGAGTCGGGATATCCCCGCCA